CTCCGCGTAGAGAGTCTGCCCAACAAATGTTCCCAGTTCCGTTCTCGACGCCAAGTGGTCTTCAGCACCGAGGATGACAATGGCTTTGAACTCAGGGTGCGTCGCGCAAACGACAGAGCCATGGTAGGACAGTGGTATGAGCCCGGACAGGAGTACACTGTGGAACTAACTAACAAGTTGCCCTTCGTTACCTTCCACGACTTCCTACTCTGGCTGAGTCCGAAAGACCTAAAGGTATTTAAGAAGCAAGAGGAGGAAAAGGAGGAGAACTTAACGGAAGGCTCTACAAAGGTTTGTGTTTTTTGTGAATTTTTGGTGACAGAACGTTTTATTATTTTGTATGCGAGCGCTTCAGCTGAATGTACGTTGACACAGATAAAATAACTCAAAAGATGAAAAGTTTAGGCTGTCACCATAGCCCCAAATGAGGCAAATTACTTATCGGCAGATACTACTGCCGGCAAAGACAAGGGAGACTGCAGGGGCCGCTTTTGGCTTATTAGACGTCATCAGTCAGTCATATCCAGACCAAAATGGTGCACCACCCGAGCCTCGAATTCGTGACCCCTTTGATCAGAGTCAAGCACCCTAACCATTGAGCTACGAGCTCTAGAATTCAAGTTAACATATCCACTTACTTATCAATAGTGAGCATCGTGTACAGCCGACTAAATCGTGTTGAATTTTTTGCCTTACTTGGGGCCGAGGTCCGGAAAAAGGGTTAACAACTAACGGTGCAGTATTACGCCTGCAATTTTCTCATCCAAAGAATTACGTTTATTAAATGAGTTTATAAAATAAATGCGGAAATCCCCTCGACATGACATGTGAATATGAGCGCCCACCTATATAATACAGGTGGGCATACACTAAATTCCAGGAAGGGTAAATTGTCCCCGTCCCTAATTCTGACGCAAACCTCCTCCTGACATTTGGTTATGATACAAAGGGGATGGTTTGAACGGACTATGCCTCCTAGCTAAAGTAGCCCCGGTCACATAAGGCTGACACATCAAGTTTATCAGGGAACTTAACATTATAATTAATCAGGATTCTTAGGTGCATGTAAGTTGTAATAACCTGAATAGGACTGCTTTGGTTCAACGATATTTTGCAATGAAACCGTCTATACTTGAAATATCGCTCGACACTTGTATGCAGTTCCCTACGGGCACTTATTCTACAAACACCCGTCCAGAGTACTTATTGCTCATTTATTAGAAAAAATACTGCTATTTTTGAGATAGCCTAGCTCCAAATTAGGAATAAGTACCTTTTTAAATGAGAAAGAGTTAGTTAACAAGCATAGGTTGTACTACTTACAGTACAGGTATTGAGAGGAAGACGACTCGATCGCTGGGACAATATGTTTATTAACCTGACGTTTCGAGATCGGTCATGGATTCGTCATCAGAGACATAATCAGACAGCAGTAGCAGATACGGGTAGCATGTGCAAAGGACCTTGCAGTACGCTAACACCGGAGGGCCAGATGGCCGAGCAATCATCATGCCCCAGGCCACCACGCGTGATGGAATGTCAGCAGGTCAGAGCCAGCATGCTGTTCAACAAACTATCAAAACACAAAAAGGCAATTACCGTTAATTGTCATTGTATTTTTGCAGTACTGACTCTATTCTATACATATTGCAATCTCCTGAGCATACGCTACCCGTATCTGTTACTACTGTCTCTGATGAGGAATCCGCGACCGATCTCGAAACGGCAGACGAATAAAAGTGTTGCCGAAGCGATCGAGTCGTCTTCTTCTTAATTACTTCCTGGGACTCGCATGTTCGCTTGTATTGGCAGTACAGATATTAGCCCAAACGTGATTCTCGGGAACATGGTTAAGACAAAGTAGACGACAAGGGCTAAATCCAAACGTGGATTCGTTTCGCATCCACTGTTGTTACTGGTAGTTCATATGTCAAGCACCAGACACATGAAGCCCCTGAACTAAGTAAGGTGAGTTCGGCACAAGACTCAGATGTCCAAAGATGAGTAGCGGAATTAGTTACTTTGGATACAAATATTTCAACTCTGTTTTTCACTGGCTTACTGAATGCTCCTTTGCGTACAAACCAGTCAACATCTTTATTGTTACAATCATGATAGTAAAAATTATCAGTGATTTATGTACAACCCTCCATTGTCGACTGAAATTGAGGACGAAGATCATGTTTGGAAAAAGCCGATCTTCAAGAGCATTGTCTATATTGCCCAAAATGTCCCGCACCAATTTATTTTCTGTAACTTTTGCAGCAGAACATGCGGTTTCCCTCTTATGAACATTTATTTAGTTTTGTTCTTACGCCCATTTTGACTGTCATGTTTTTCAACAACAAGTACAAGTGGAGCTTTGCTTAATTCAATTGAGAAGACTTGGCGGCCTCGGTGGGAGTCGTCGAACCCACACAGAGCAGGGAAGGCTTTTGCGCAGCCAATGTTCTACCACTGAGCTATGAGGCTCACCATACGCCGTGAATTTAATCACACATGGATCGATTTTACCCACCCAACCTACTGCTCGTATGTAATCTACCATTACGGATATAGCAAGCTGACTGCCCAGGCAGGAGGCCGCGAATTTTTCGCAATTGGGTTAATTGAATTAAGCAAATCTGCCAAACTCCCCTAACAATTAAGTGAAAATAGTAGTCATTCTGGTGGATTCTAGATGATTGCTAAGGAAATCCTGCCTGGACGGCCAGCTTGCTGTTCTGTACTGGTGGATTCCATACAAGCAGTAAGTTGGGCGGGTAAAATCGATCCAGCGAGCCTCGTAACACACGCTCTGTGTGGGCGTGACTCCCACGGAGGCCGCGGAT